GGAATCCTTTGTTGCTTATAATAAAGAAGCGAGAGAGTACTTATCACGGCGTATAAATATTTCAATGTCATTTCTCATTTTAAAAAAATAAAATAACTTCAGTTAACATGCTGCGTATCTATAAATTGAGTAATGATCTTTTACGTTTAGAAGGTTTTGATTGACAGATTTCTTTTTTATTTTTATAGTTTTGCAAGGCGGCTAGTATGTTGATGCATGATAAACGTTCGGCGTGGATTCTTTTTTGCAAGGTTGACTTTAATTTGGGTTTGTATGGGTGGACTTTTATTTTATTTGTTGTGGATGTTGGGTTCATTGAGCTTAAGTCTAGGTCACTTTGATTTTATTTTCTTTCCTATTTTTTTTATCTACTTTATGTTGGCTGACATCTGCTTGGGTTTTGTTCAAATAATCTGCATTTTTATCTCCTTTTTTTTTGCATTTGTTAATAACATTGCCTTTTAATTGGAAAAAACAAAGTAACGATCATTAGATGAATGCACAGTGTATGGACGCAAGACCTTTTAATATTTTGAGGCAATCACAATCTTGCTTCGGGTCGGGGGTCACTTGGCGATAGAGGTTGCAACTGTTTTGATAGTGGGATCGTTAATCATAAGGAAGAGGAAAACAGAGAGGGTGATAAGGTGACGAGCAGAGGCGAACATTCTCTTTTATTACAGTGCGAGGCAGCAGCAGGAGAAGAAGAGTGATGAAAGAAGGATGACGCAATAATGCTAGGAAATGGAGGGTATAGGGTCCCACTAACTGCCAAACATGTTAAGTCGGCAGTCCAATAACATGAGAGCCGTTTGACTTTAACCATGTCCCGTCCTCACAAATCTCACCACTTTGACCAATCATCTTTCAGTCTGCCTTGCTCGACTCACCAACCATTTTCAGCAGCAGTAGAGATGCATGTATCGACTCTGCCCATTATCTGGCAACTTGCACCCACCTTCTCTAACAATCACAACCATTAAGAAAACCACACACTTCTTTGCACCAGTTGCATTAACCAAACGTCTCATTTCAACATTATAATCCTTACCTCTTCCTTCACCCACATTCAACGACTCCAACAAATCCCCTGCCACCATAAATGCATTATCTCCTTCTCTGTTCATACCTCCCAAGACTAATCCAAAACTATATTCATTGCATATCAAACTCTTGTCTCCTATTTATATCTACTGCATCTAATCTTTAATATAAAAGCTAATTTGACTTTTAATTTAGTTCTAAAAATAAAACTTATATCTATTTTGTCTCACATATTTATTTATTTTTTTTAAAGTAGTAATTATAATAGTTGGAAATGTTAAGAATTTAATCAAATGATAATTCTAGCTAACACATATAATTAACAAAAATATTTTAAGAAAGATAACACCTATTTATTACAAATAACTAGCTTAAGAAACTTTCTTAATTGATTCAAATTAGTTAATTAGTTCTTATATTAAAGATCAGGAGTTGTATTAATTATTATCTCCTTCTTCCTACATTTCATCACCCCGCATGTTGTCACTTTTCATAAATGCCAAGTAAAATATCTAAGTTGAGTTGGGCTGGCTATTCCACAGCACAACATAGGCCGAACTGGGCCCATGTAACATGGGCCACAATACTTGGTCGGTTTGGACCCTAGATCCGGGTCATGTTCGGCTTAGCCTATCTCAGCTCATTTGTTTGTACATGCAAGCCCCACATGGGTACGATCTCACGAGTGTAAAATTATTAAATAAAACAATACTACTATTAAATCATGTATTAATTTTAAGCTAATATATTTCAGAAAAAATAATTATGAGTTTGATTAACACATCTATTTTTTTTAATGCCTACTTTTCAATTTATTTATTTTTTAATACCCAACTAACACTAGTCTGATACTGAGTGACTAGGCTTGAAGTCAGGGCAAGAAATGGGTTGAGTTTTTGTCTAGAGGGGTATAAGAGGCTGAGGGGGCTAGGGGCCGGGCCGGCCCGACCCAGTAGGCGTCCCCTCTCAGGAGGCACCCATCTCCTTACAAACTTGCACGTTCAGAGTGGAAAATACGCACATGAAACCATTATTTAAACGCCACTCAATTTGCAACTTACCCTTTATTTCCGTAACAAGGAACAGTCAATCGACAGATAAACTAAATTTATTTAAAAAGGCAATAAACAACAAGGGAAAAATGAACTACAAGATTAGACCGTCTAGCGCCAGCGAACAGTCATATATGCAAGAAATCAACAATTACTACTGAGGTGTTTTCTTTTCTTTTTTTTCAATTACTTCACCTGGTATTCCAAGCCAACCCCTATGTCATGGAAAACTCAACCGGTTTGGACTAATCTAGATTTCGCCGTCGTAGGACCCTAAGGGCGGCTAGCCTACCACCAAGTATTTAACGCTGCTGTATGTCCAAGACTCGAACTCGAGACCTTTAGTTAAGTTAGGACGACCCCTTACCAGTCAACCTAAGCGCTTGGTGATTACTACAAACATGTTTGAAAGTTTCATAAGCACTTAAAATATATATATATTTACACAAGTCGAAACAAAACTTCTCTCATATATCTACCTTATATTCTGTAAAATCACTTCTAAAAAATTAATCCGAATCCAATATTAGAATCATTTATGTTCCAAATAGTGGCAGTATAACGAACAAACAGATGAAGAATTGAACAAGAAGCATAGCTCCCACAACTTAAAAAGAAAACATACGTTGACAAATGCAACATAATTTGCAGGTGAAATGATACGAATTATTAATACTTGAAAAGCAGAACTACCAGAATGAACCATCTGATACCCAGAGCATTTCAAATCAAAATGATCCCTTGCCACACAAAAGGATAGGAAGTCCAATCAGATAGAAGTTCATATATCCCGGTGAAAATTTTGCATTCAAACCATTCAGAATAATAGCTTAGATTCCCATCAGCAGCCAGAATTAGAACTACACTGAAAAGTGAAAAGAATATGCTTCGTCTGGGAATGGGAATCACTTCTACCCAGGCAAGAAGAACAGCCACAAAATTTACAAAAACCTCTACCGCATAACGGCACATAAGTTCCTCCACAAGTCTACATCTTCACTAGCGCTTCAAAGGAATACATCCTAAAACGAGAGAAATAGAATATAGAACCAGCATTCCGCACATCGAAGGCCAGAAGATAGCAGCCAACCATGAGCCATCCACATTCATCGATATCAAGTTTGTCTTCATAAAACTCGATGTCCCTTTCCTTAATCGAATATAAACTACCCCAATTTCAACCATAACCATTTATCGCAGTTTCCATACATCTAAAAACGTAGAATTATCACCACCACTGTGTAACGAGGGTAAGAGAATGAGAAGAAAGTGTATCTGATTCACATTAATACCTGAAGGGAACAGATATTTATAATGGCTTATGTCCCTTAACCAATACTTTACAGAACGTACAACAGAATAGTTAAGTTGCTAACTAGCTCTTAATACTTCTTTATATCCCAATACACTGTTTCTTAAAGTTCCCAATACAAATCAGATGGGTGGATGTAGCCCAAAAAAACATAATTCAGTTTATCTTACTCTGGTTTCCATGGTCTCTGAGTTGCTCCTCCTGAAGTTTCAGCCTGGTACTCAACACTCAGCATAAAAGCCACAGGACTATGTCAACTTTTCCTTCTCTTCAGCTGACAACTAATTCACATCAACAACTTAACATTTGTCAAAGCTAATTTCACTAAGGTAATTTTTCTGTCAATTATTGAATGAATTAATATCAATATAAACAGAAGGCAGGCCATTCTTTATTAGTTATGGAAAAGATATGATGCCTTTATTGTATCACAAATGCTAAAGATTATGAAGTTTGGACGCTTCAAAACTATAGGCAGCCAACACCCAAGTATAGGTAATGCCTCATTCTTTTCATAACTGGGTAATTCAAAACAAAAGGTATTTCAGGAGAATTGTGTTCAGCTATAGGCTCATACAAACAATGACATTATACAGCAAAACAGAACCTCTTCCCATGGAATAAGGAGAAAATACACAAGTCTAATCATTTTTTGGCTCCTTAGAGACATACTTCATGGATAGTGTGATTCCAATAATAATTCAAAGTGGCTAGTCTGGTTGACTGCATAATGCATATCATTATATCAAAAAACACGAGAGGGAAAGAAAAGCAGACAATTAATTTTACCAACCAATTAAGATGAAAGATGCCAAAGACATGCGAGAGATATGCATTATTGAAGGTACCAAACAACAAAGCCAGTATCATTCTCTTCCCAAGCTCATTTCAAAAACCTTTAAACGAAATTCCAGATCAGAGATCAAATACTGATACAATGAAGGAAGGAACTGGAAAGATTTATTATTGAGCGAGCGTAATCTTCAACCTATTTTTCGAAGTACCAATGGAATAACCTGACCTAATTACCAACCAGGAAATGAGAAGTTAGACATTCCAGTCTGATTATTAATTAAGCATGCTCAGCGGTCCCTTAGTTAAATCAAGCTATACAAAAAGGAAAAAAAAAGGTACCATCCAATTACTAGATATTCTATAGAATACTGGAAGAACTACCACTTCATGCATTCAAAATTCTATAAATTAGTACCAGAATTCAGAAATAGAAAATGGCTGCCGAATTTAGCCTGTAATCGTGGCCCAACATTGATTGATGGAAGGAAATAATAGAAAAACTTTTGATGCGATTAATTAATGCCACAAAACAAAGGGATATGACCATTCTATAGTATGAAAAATTTCCTGTTGCACAAGTCAGACAACACAGAGTACAGATTATTGGGAGTAGAGAAGCTTTAAAACACATATGATTCCATTGTCATCATCATATAAATTTTGATTAGCCTTAAAACCTAGCATTACTATGGCATTCCTGATGTATGATAGTAAAATACTACATAGGGGAAGCATGCACTTTTTAGAAGTTTAGATCTAACAAAAATTATGTTCGTTACAGGTGAACCAGAAGGGAATTTAAGGAGAAGAATTGCGATGCAATAGTCATAAAAAAGGTGAAACATCAATGTGCAAGATTCCAATGATTCTGTCTTGGTTGTCATATATTCAGAAATAATTTCAGGCTACCAACAAACTTTACATGGGAAAATGGAATGGTTCAAAATGAAGAACTACCATCACAAGCCTGATCGACTGAACCTAACGCAGCTCCCCCTCAAGAGGATGAGGAAGAAAATCGTGGGCAACATTGAAAGACACCAAAAAATACAGGCAACCTAACTTTGCGAAGCCAGACACTCTACATACACGCAAAATGTGACGTGTTCATTTAAGGATGGAACCCTCTATGGTGCCACTGGTTCCATTGTTTAATCCTTGAACAGCCTCGGTAAATGGTTCCGAATGCAATCAAGTTCCATCGAAGAGAATGAATCAGCCCTCAAAGGTGTGTGCAACCACAGCAAAATATTTACGCGAACCAATTATAGTTGTTATTTCAATTCAATAGAGCCCATCTTCTGTTTCCTCATCCTCATCAATCACTAACATATAATTTTCATCAAGTTCTTCAGAAACCCATCCTTGTTCCTCATCCTCGTCCGAAAATGTTGCATTTCTCAGATCATTAAACTCGGTTCTCATTGCAACAAGCTCGTCTACGATTCCATCCAAATCGCTCGTAACTAAAGTATCTCCATCATCATGCGATATTGAAAAGAAACCATCATCTTCAGCAGAAGACTGTCGTCTTTTGTTCTTGGGCACTAAGTCTATCTCTGCAAGGTCTCCATTCTCAACTCCAATCCAAGGAACCCATAAGTCGGCATGCCGCCCTAATGCCCTGTCCCAGTCACCCACAACTACTGTTCCCAAATTTGCCTCTCTCGCCCTCCTCAACATCTCCGAAAAATCTGAATCGTCGGACACCAAAAACAACCAATCTATCCCTCGGCTCATTGAGTGTTGCATCTGCCTCTTCAGTGCCCAATCAGCTGCTTGCGGTTTATCTTCCACCGTCTTCACAAATACTCCGGCACGCCTTAGTTCGGAAGCGAGCCCATATCCCACCTTAGGGGTAAGCAGAGACCTTGCTGCTTCATTGTACTTGTGATTCCCAGATATGAACCTCTCTTTATAACGCTGACGCTTTTTCCCCTTAAGTGACCTCATCCGATTCAGCTTTTTCTGACGCTCTCGCTGATGGAGCTGCTTGAAATGCTTCTTGAGGTCCAAATTAGTTTTACACTTGCGGCCGCAAACCCCACAAACGTACGGATCAGAAGGCGTGACCACTCCCTTACGCTCCAGAATTTCTACTTGCTTTCGTTCACGGCGTTCGTGGAGAACCCACTGGGGTAAGTGGATAAATGCGTGGCGATTGGCATAGGCAGACATGTCGACAATGTCACCGAAGCGCTGTGCCATCTGTTTGAGTGCCATGGCAGCCTGATAAGGCGGTCCGCGAGGGGGTTTGTTATCAAGGTCCCACAAGACTACGACTTTGTTCTGTTTGGGAGCATAAACACCTTCCTTATTCCTAACCATCTCGATTTCGGAAGTTGCGGTGGAGCAGGCTCTGGTAAGCCATCGGCGTGAAGGCAAACTTTGAAGTGGGGATTTTGATGAGATGGCAAGTAACCCTGCGTTTCTGAAATTGAAGGAGGGAGATGGGCAGAAATGGAGGGTGCTCTGTGAGCTGAGATTGCGGAGGAAAAGGGAAGGAGTGGGGGCCGTTGCGCAACAGAGTGATAGATTATTCATGCTCTGTTTCCTCGCAAGCCCACTTCACTGTTCACTCTCACCGTTCGGACTTGAACTGGATGAGATCTCCAGAATCAGAGCGACGAGGTCCATGAAGTTATCCACTATCTCTGTCTTTCATCGTGGATGAATTGTTGTAACTGATTTGCCAGTTGAGAACTTGGGATTAAAAATTGGATTTTTTTTGTTGGCTCTTAATTTCCATTGGCTGTTTTAGAGGAAGGATGCTCATGCATTGATCCCGGCAGAAATTTCACAATTCTTAAAAAGTAATTAAGAAAAAAAAAATCCATATAATTTCTGTTAGCCCAAAAAAAAAAACTGAATCTTGCATTTCCAATTTTTTCAATGTTTGATGATTCTCTATTCCCCAATTATATTTTTAAACTTAAAAAAAACAATTTCATGTGAACAATAATAAAATGAAAATAGGAATAAAACGGTAGCCAATATTGATAAAATAAGACAAGCATATGCCACTATGTTTCTTATTACAAGTCACTTATATCCTAAAAATTTATTTCAAAATGTAAGTCACTTGTAATATAATTAATGATCTTTTTTCAATTTTATCCCTATTAATTTAATAAAAAATTAATTAATATGTAGTTTGTCCCCTCCCTCTCTCTCCCTCTCAACTTTTAATAAGAGTAAATATGAAAAAAATAGTTAATTTAATGTATTTTTTAGTTTCCGGGTTTAAGATACAAGTAACTTATAATAAAAAACATAATGGTGTTTGACAAGACCATTATGAAAAGGAGTAGACATTTATCTTTAGCTAGAAATAATACTAATTCTGGTAAAAATTATTTTAACTTCCTGTATAAGTAAGAATATTTTTAAATTATTGATAACAAAAAATAATTTGGTTAATTATTTCAACAAAGAGTATACATCTCATTTGAATTTTTTTGAATTATGGAACAGTCATAATTTAAATCTTTGAAAATAATTAAGATTTCATTATATTTGTAAACAAATTGAGGCATCATTATGCGGGAAAAAATTTGCATCGTTTCTTAAACAATTTTTCCAGAATTTTGAGGATTGCAATAACGTGAGGCATTGCAGTTACCTGTAGGATGACATGGATCTGCCAGCGATTGGAATGAACATCGGTGGGGAAGCTAGATTGGAATTGCAGTTTGATTCAAATCTTTCAATTTCAATTCAATATTTTCTATGTCTTGCTCAAAACCCTGTGACTGTTGCTTTTTTTAAGGTTTCAGTGTAACTCTGGATCATTCCAATTTTATCGGATGTTACCGGGGGGACAGGCTTCAATGTAACTGCAAAAAGCAGAAAACATATTATATTCCCATCCATCAACAAATATTCTCCCTTTTCAAAAGGAAGAACATAAAAGGATTCCACACCATTGATGTGCGAAGCACAGCATCTCATCACGAGCCATACAACAAGGAAAGAAAAATTACAGGTCCATACTCCCCCCCCGGGAACAGTAGATATCCACGGTGATTAATTGCTTATGAAGAGTTAATCATTGAACCATCACCCAAAAAAGAGAGTTAATCATTGAACTGTTCTATATTATGTTAAAAAGAAAAGTAATCCTTGCATATATAGTTGCAGTTCTATCCTTGGAGAACATGACTAAGGAGAGCAGGAGGTTCTTTACATCGGACTGGAGTATGAGGAGTGAACATATCTATTAGGCGGCTAAGGAATATGCTAATCCACATGTTTGAGAATCAGTTTGTTTCCTTTGCTAATCCATTTATATGTAAGGATTTGATTAACACTATGATGTGTTCTGATTAACACCACATTTGTTGTGTCAGCTTGCTAATAATATTTCAAGCATGATTAACAGAAATATGACAATTCAATGGATCATTAATCACTTGCTGTCCCTGCAAGGAGTGCATGATAATTTTTCTATTTGGCTACATCATGGCTCTATTTAGTTAGGTGAAATAAGATCAAATAATGAAAATATTCACCCGGAACTTTTTAGCATTTTTTATTCTCTAAAACGTCCATGATTGATTAAAAAAATATTAAAATATGAATCATTTGAATTTTCAACTGAACCAGAGGCGACTACATGAGTATTTTTTAAGGTTAAGTTACATCTTTTATCACTCAAAGTTAATGAAGCAATAATTCTGTAATTTACACAATTTAACAAACAGCCATCAAAATGTCGTTGAACAGGGTATTCAAGCGGATAAGTAATGAATGAGCCCAAGTGTCATACAGCTATGTTTGCTTGTGAACTTTGCTTTGAAGCAGTGTTTGAAAATTATGCAGCCAAAAGCAAGAGGATCAAGAAAACATCATTTTTTTAATTATACTGATCAATAAATTGATAATTAACATTGTGATTGATATGTGTGTGTGTGTGTGTGTGTGGAAATCATCTCCACTAACCACAGTCGGGCCATTGAATTTGAGACCTGGTCACCTGGTAATGGAAAGCACAACTTCGGCGGTCCTTGTTCTCTCCATTTGGAAAACAGAACAAACCAACAAACGTGTCATTGTTTATTAATGACAAGAATACTGTCGGTTTCCGTGTATTAAAGACTCAATGAAACTGACAATAAAATCCTACTCAGAGAAACGCAACTTTGCACTTTTGCGTATCCCACCTTGCGCCTCTTCATCCTGCATGCCTAATTAATTGAACCGCACTTTAGTCAAACCCCTTCGTAATCTTCTTTTCCTTCTTTGATCCTTTCTTCTTCTGAGTTCTTTAGACCCCTTCCGTATCGATAAGGAGGATCTATGCGTAAGAATCTGAAAAGAAGATATGAGGGAATGGGTCCATGTTGCTGTGGTGGCAGGCTCGTTGGGATGTGTTTCAACCCTTTTACTGGTTTGGATTTGGCGATGGTGTTATCACAAACAACGTAAAACTTTCGTTGAACCAGTTAGTCTGCAATCAGGTATTACTAGACTCCATCAGGGGAATTATCATGAGTTTGGTGGTGGGGACTCTAGAAAACCTCTGTTCAACTGGTCTGATCATCCCTCCCTAGCTGCTGATGCTGTAGAGAACGGCTGGTCTCGATTTGGTTTTTCGGGCTACAAGACCTGCGTATCGTCTCCACCGAAAAGAACAGGACTTTTGGGATTGGGAGTGTGCGGTTCTGCTTCAGGTGATCACGGAAGTGAAGAAATAGAGGCTGAGATAAGCTGGGAAATGTGTCAGGGATCGGTTGACTTCATGCAAAAGATAAGATTGAACCCTGGCCTCAAAAGGATTCATCCAAATAATCCTTCCGTGAGTGTTTTCTCTGTGATAAGGACGGCTCTGCCTCTGCCCGGTCCTCCTTTGGGAAACGACTCTTTCCCACAAGAAGCTTATTTTGAAATCACGGTTCTATACGCTTCTGGTGCTGATGATTATGAATGGGATGGTAAGAACAAAGAAGGGGAGAGGATTAAACTCATCCAAGAATATTCAAATTCTAAAGGGAACCACATTGAAGAAATGAGAGTCGTCGAAGGTATAGAGAAGGAAAAGCGCGAATCTGCGATGTTCTCAGTGGGGTTAACATCAGGAGACTTTGCTCCTCTGAAAACTCCGGGCAGCTACGCAGGAAGCATCGGGTTCAACTCAAACGGTTCTGTCTTTCTTGAAGGTAATGTCAGGTCCCTCGTGTTGCTTTCAACGTCCATTCAATTACAAGCAAATTACAGTATTTTTTAGGATAGATATCTTTTCTGTTTGGATCTATTGATACTATAACAAACATTCAAGAATCATATTTAGGCGGACACCTTACTGACGTGGTACTGGGTATGTTGCTTGCAGGAACGAAACTGGTAATGGAATCAGAGAAAGTAGAGTGGGTAGGAAGTAACAAAGTAATAGGTTGTGGATATGATCCGAGGATGAAGAAGGTTTTCTTCACAATGGGATCTGAATTGGTGCATGTAATCCAGTGCTATTCAGAGGAATTTGGTGCACCACTGTATGCAACATTAGCTGCAAATATAGACATAACGTTATTGGTGAATTTTGGGCAATGTGCATTCAAGTATGGACCTGCAAATGTACAAAGAACCCCTAATCCATGCTTTATAGCCCCTCTAGTAAATCCTCGTCCTACTGCTACCCTGGGCTACGATGATAGCAAAGAGCTCTTCTCTATGGGAAGAATTGATCCTCAGTGGCATCATGTGGCTACCCCTAAAGGAAGCCACAATAATAATGGGGTCGTAGATTTTGATGACGAGTCTGAGGCTGATCTATTTGAAATCGTCTTGGATCGTTCCCAAAAAGTCCCAACCTCACCATTCTAGCTAGCTTCAGTGGCTCAAGTGTTATGTTTGTTCACTGTTTCTCATCATCTTGGTGAGGTTTTAGGGCAGCCAACTCCTTTATTATTATTTTTAACAGATCATTTTAGTGCACCCAGAAACTGGTTCATATCCATGGAACAATTTGCTGTCATCCATTGCGAAGGCTCTAATTTTCTTGTCTTCCGCGTACGACCCAATAAGTCATGTAAATTTATTTTTATCCTTTTCCTTCTTCCTATCTGTTTTTTGTGGGCTGATCTGTGTATTGGGAGAGAACCGTCCTTCCCTGTGAAATTTGTTCTCAGAGGTTATTTAGGAAACAAGTGGATACATTCTGATGTATAAACTAGCAATACGTATGCTTAGCTGATTTGCATGATAGTGACGCCAACACCGACTCTTGAATTATAATCATAAGAAAAATTTGGAAAGGAGAATTCGGATTCATTAATTTAATTGTTCCATTAATATGTGTGGCGCAAGAATAAAACAAAAACCACTCCATTATTCTAAAAGCCTTTTCAACGTCACATGAAAGGCCGAGTGGGAAATTTTCTATCCTATCATTACGAATATATAGTACGATACCGATGCGGCAACAAATTGGTTTTTTTTTTTGGGGGGGGGGGGGATCAGGGCCTTATCGCGTGTTTAATATGGTGAAAGGATAAACAAATGTTTACACGATTATTGCCAGCATGTCACAGCATAAAAACCACAATTATTGGTCATAGCGTATCATTAACGTACAATTACAAATCTTAGGCGTGAATCATGACGGTTGACAGAACATTAGGCCACGTTTACTTCCGAGAAGGCTGACCTATGGAAGGATTGCGTTCTGGTGACTTCATCGGTGACCGAAGCTATGTCCAGTGAGCAGACCGCAAATTTGAATCCGCGCCTTTCAGGTAGCTTCGCGTCTTCCGGCAATGGCTATCTCGCTGGCTTTATCTTCTCCAGCGCACTCATCCTTCTGGTTTTGGGATTCTTTTATTTGTATTTTGATTGAATTTTCATCTTGTATATGGTAACTCTTTTTCGATTCTGGTTTGTACAGCCGATTTTTTCATCTGCTTGATTGCCACTGAGGACGGAGAAAACTGAAGGTAGGTTGAAAAAATACGTAGCTAAGGGCATGCGAATAGTTTTACTATTATTTCTATTTAATTAATATTGAACCAAATGAATTTACCATAATCATCATTCCATTCTAATGCATTTCTGTTTCCAATATCATACCATAGAACCCTTAATCTTGAACGATGAATCTTTTAAGGAGAGATTAAATAATTCTTTGTTTTTATTATCATTTTTTTAACAAAATATAGCACCATTAGGAGAAGGAGCGACATCTGGATGTCATTCTTTCTTGGGCCTTTTACCGAATGCTCATGAGTAGAAGCCATGCACCCCTTATTCTACATCTAAGTTCATCAGGCAACACAAATATGGATACCATGAAATATCGAATTCTAAAAATTGCATAAATTATCAACAACCACAGAACACCCCCCCCCCCAAAAAAAAAAAATCCGCTTGCATCTCAAATTTGCTCAACAAGCCATGGAGACGGTACTTGATGTTTAGATGCTTCAGTACAGGGCAAGAACCGGAGAATGTGCCGCGTTCAATTACGATCACTCAGCAATAATGCTGCAACCCTTTTCAATGATTCAGATGCTTTATGAAGATCGGATTCTGAATGCGCTGCAGAAACAAATAATCTAATTCCAACAGGCAACCGACATGTGTCCAAGGTTGATCTCTTGGAAGTGACCACAAATACAGAATCTTCTTTCAAAACCTGTAAGTAAATATCTATTAGGCACAAGCAAAACTGATATTGAGGCATTGCATTGTCAAACAACATTCCTTACACGCTCGGCAATATCTTCAAGCAAAGACAGGTCGCCTTTCATGGAACCGGTTGACTTCTCTAATCTCAAATAAACAATTGGCGACTCTGGATTACTCGCTATTGTTAAGCCTGTTATATTCGATAATCCTGCAGGAGTAGTCCAATGATTCTCAAATGCGAAAAATAAGATCAATGGTCCGCAGTGAGAGTGAGCGTGAGAGAGAGGATACTTTAAAACAATCGGATGATAAGTAAAATCTAGAAGATGGGCACTGTTCCGCGATAAAAATTAGTTGAAGAACTGGCAGGGAGAGCAGGGATCACCTTTCCACAATATAGCAACATTATTTTTCAACTTAGTAATAAGATTGGGATTTTCCTCCAAAATGTCAACAGCTGTAATTGCGGCACTAGCAAGATATGGAGGAAGTGAAGCAGAAAAGACATAGCCAGAACTACTCAGTCGCTGCCAAGACAGAAAACACGTTAAAATATCAGTGCTTTAGAAAGGATGAGAAATAAACTCTGGCATCGAATATACTACTATACTGCATGGCGGAAACTCAGACGACGCATTACTTCATCATACAATTTTTACACTTCATGAGTTATATTGAGGACGATAAAATGGAAGGAAAAAATTAATAAATAATAGCTTGGGAAATAAATCTTTGATTCTCTTGCTTCTACTTCATTGTCATAATCAAACCTATTACTAAGAGTGCTATCATCTTACAAGACACTTCCATACCTGGTGATCTATAACTCTTGCACTTCCAGTGCAGAATCCTCCTTCTGTGGCTAATGCATGTCCCATAGCAGCAGTTATAATATCTAACTTCTCAACCTGCAATGCATAACCATAAATTGCAATTCAGAATATATGAACACTCATACTCAGTGCACATACACCAGCACCTGGGGAGGGGGATGGGGAGAGTGAGAGCGAGAGAGATTTTCATCACGTACTGGAACTTTATAAAATTCAGTGAGACCCCTTCCAGAACTTCCAAGCACACCGATTGAGTTGCTCTCATCCAACAAAACACGGAAACGGTATTTCTCCTTCAATCTAATGATCTCATCCAGGGGTGCAATTTGGCCAGAATTCTGAAGATAGAATAGAAAAGAAAAAGTTGTCAAAAGGTATGGGTCAAACAGGTATGGCGTTCATAGACTGATAGTAGTTGAAAAGAATCATTACAGTAACATATGAATAAGAAAGACAATGTAAGCAGTAATAGTTTTTGAAACGATGAAATTGTGATAGATGTAGATCTCATTGTAACAATTATTCCACATACAAATTTAGCATTCTAGACCCCATAAGGACCATTTGAAGAAGTAAGTATAACCCAAACAAATTGAGGTGAACAAGGCCGGATGGTTGGCTTGAAACATCAGCAGAAGGCTATTTGCATCTAAATAATAGCATTTTTCTTATCAATCATCCCATACTAACTGTTCGTTCATTTGTTCTAATGAATCCCTTTGTATCTATAATTTGATTGACTAATATAACAAACCAGCAACGGTGTGGTGCAGTGCTGCCTGATGCGTCTGATCAATAGAATAAGAAAGGAAAAAATTGGAATGTTCCAAGGCTCAAACTTGTTAATTCAATCCTTCATAGATATATTCAATCTGCAATAGCTAATCATCCTATTATCATCGTAAATATATACCAGCCATTCATATAGGGTGATATACAACGTGCAACAAGAAGCCAGCAACAAGCAGACACCTCATCTAAATAGCAGAAGGTACATCCTCTCTCTATGATAGCTGATTATGTAGAATGTATAGATAGAAAAACACAAGTTAGAAGTGTAAAGCTAAGGTGCAATGCATGATAGACAAGATCTACCTGGTAGACAGCTTCAATAACAATATAACGCCTCACTTTCTTGGCTCGCTTGCTTCTTGTACTAATTTTCTCCAGAGTTTCTCTTAAAGAATTCATGTCATTGTGCTTGAAATACACCACTGTGCTTCTAGAAAGATAAAGCCCATTCTGTATCCCCCAGTGGACTCCTTCATCCCTGTAAAAGACCCCCTTGTATGCAAAAGTTAAACCCTCAATAATACGAAAACTAGCCAAAAAGCTTCAAATGTGTGCCAAAGGCTGCCTCAGATCATCAGGGTTTACTGGGTCAACTACACTGCCTCTGAATATCAGAGAGTTTATCACATTGACATTTTAACTAGGGCTTTTAACTCATGGATAGACACAATCAAATACAGCTCTTGCTTTATTGTTATCAAATCAGCATAAAGAAGCAGAAGAATTGAGAAATAAAGCACTTTGGCCCAACAAAAATTTTGAGATAAACGGCTCGGCTATCACATCAGCAGTGTTTGGCTATCACTGCTCTCTATAATTGTCTGAAGAGGAGGCAAAACTGGACAGAACCATATAGCCAATAGTCAGAGTTTATGCTTACACAACAATAATATCTCCTTTTTTAGAGAAAGCAGGAATTGCACTGAACATGGTGGAAAGTCCATAAGAGTAGAGAATTGAATCAGGGGTTCCCAAAAACTTTGCTATTCTGGCTTCACAGTCAAGGTGCACGTCTGGGGAAAACAAAGTAGCACAAGAGAACAATCATTTACCACTAAAGAACTTTGTTTTTAAATTTGAATCTACTTTAACAATGAACCTTACCAATTGTTCCATAAAACCCACGAGGACCACAAGAACCAACACCATATTTCTCAAGAGCAGAAGAGCAGGAGTCCTGAAATAGAAAGTTGCAATGAGTGCACTGTGTTATAGCAGTATAAAAACAGAAGAAATGTATCAGGGATGCATGGAAAGTTTTCTTACAAGCAGCTTCTTATGACCTATCAACCCAAGATAGTTTGCTGAAGCAAAATTCACAACTTCTTTACCATTAATTATGGCATGTGGCCCTGCAGCACTGCAAGAAACATAACTCATCTCAGCAGCAGGAAGATACAGGTAGATAATTGGCTGTTTTTTTCCCTGATAATCCTATATGTAAACTTACATAACACAATGAATCCACATCATGACATTTATCTGTCAAGACCTTAAATCATCTTATACACTCAATCAACAAAGCAAACAAGAAATATAAATAAAATGTCCAAACATATAAAAGGATTAACATAAATCAGATTTCCCTCAAGAAAAATCAATCACCTCTCTAGCACCGGTGGTTCATACTGCATCTCTTTACTAACATGAGGAATAAGGGGTTCTGGAACCCATTCGTCACACAGCTCATCTATTTCCTGCAGATATTAGGCATGTGCTCCAATAATGTCAAAGTAATAAGATGATAATGAGTAAAATTATTAGATTTCTGGAAGTTTTTCCGAAACATTATCTTGAAATGCACGGTTCGAGGGATTCAAATCATAAATAGTCACCAAATAGGTTATGTTTATCCTGAAAAATAATAATATAACTAGGAATTCCCCATGGACCATAATAGCACGATCTACCAATGTCCATCTTAGCATTGCAGCATTTTTGTTCTAAAGAGTCACGAGTACCAACATATTCAGAAGCAGCAAGTGATGTACAAAAATATGCAATAGAAAGCACAAAAATATGAACAGGCACCTTCTACAAGATGAGAGAAGAAAAAATTACAAACCAGAAGTCAAAATAAAGCACATTGAAACTATTGAGGGACCTGGCCAATGAAAGGAAAAATGTGAATAGGCAGGAAATTTTGAAATAGAATCCTATTCAATTCCCCCTTCGAGCTCTCAATGTCTTCACAAATCCATCAATTGTATTTCCAAGTCAATAAAGAACAAATGAATATGGCATTCAGATCTACCAACCTTATACCAGACCTAAACCTCCAATCATAGTTCCAGTACATACAGATAGATCATGTCATCTAAAAAGATCACAACTGCATGAACAATCATCTCAAAAGCCCAATGCATCAGCAGCAAAGCTATTAATAACTCTTCTGTCAAGGGCAAGTAGTTAATCCCAGACCTTACAAAGAACCTCTATTAAGACCACTGAAAGACAAATCACGAGGGGCCAGTTCTGCAAAGCAGATTCCATTTCAATGTGCAGGAAACTTGAAGGATTATCAACCTAGGAAGTTCTAGAGAGTTCACAAATGAAGATAAAACCCCTACACTAGATCACTAGAACCACTAAAAACCACATTAACCACTTCTACATAAACTTGAAATTATTTTGAAAAAGTTTAAAGCTGATAGAACAACTATTCAAATATGCAACATACTGATCCTCGTTTTACATGAACATAATGGGAGAATTTCCCTACAGTTAGTGGAGTGGCCAAATTAAATTGTTATTGAAAATCACAATTTTTAATCCTCCAGATGTCAAAAATTTCGCACACAATAGATTTGTATGGCCCGTATACACTTTACATAACTGAAACTTCAGTGGTGAGTAAACATAACTGAAACAACATTGTTGATCTAACCTTTTCTGTTAAGGGCCGTTTAGGAGGCTTGTAACTTTTCTGCGAAAGCAGGAAAAGGATGACCACCAGAAGAAGACCTTCCACGAATAAATGTCCTTCAAAGAGAAGATGGTAATAAAGGCAAATCAATTGATCATGCACTGATAAGCCATAGGGTGAAGATATTTCAGTCAAGGATGTGAAAGATTACCGCCAATATGAAAACCAAAAACCACAGCTCGAGCAGAAGGAGCGTCTAAAGCCAATGTCATCCAATTTAACGTAGTGTTTAAAAAATTTAGGACTGGTGAGGCCATCGTATTCTCAATATCTCAAATATCGAAGAAAACCTTGAACGTCATTCTCAATACAGCAGTCCTGCTGGTCAACTTCCCAGACACTCAAAGCACTGTATTTTATGGATACTGCACCTATATGCTGCATACACCGAGACAATTACAAATCTATTAGTTTTTTTTTTCCCCGGTTGGAATTACAAATCTATTAGTTGATCATAAACACATTAGACAATCACAAATGCGGCAGTATAAAGAACAAACAAATGAGAAATTGAACATAATTTGCAGGTGATGTAATACAAATTCCAGTTGAAAAGCACAACTAGGCGAATAAACCATCTGATACCCAGAGCATTTCAAATCAAAATCCCTTGTCTCTCTAAAGGAAAGGAAGTCCAATCAGATGGAAGTTCACATATCCAGGTGAAAAGTTGCGTTCAAACCATTCAGAATAATAACTTAGATTTTTATCAGCAGCTAGAATTAGAATGAATTTATAAAAAGAAAATGCTTCGTTTGGGGATAACATCTAAGCAGGGTCTGCGTGGACAGGGAGAACGACCCCAAAATTTACAAAAACCGTGTATGGCATGACGGCACATAAGTTTCTCCAAAAGTCCACATTTTCACTAGCGCTTCAAAGTAATGCCTCCAAAAACGAGAGCGATAGGAGCATAGAACCAGCATTCCACACATCGAAGGCCAGATAGCGGCCAGCCAAGAACCATCCGCATTCATCGATATCATGATTGTCTCCATAAAACTCGAAGCCCCTATCCTTACTCAAATATGAACTACCCCAATTCAATCCATAACCATTTATCGCAATTTCATCCGAAATCGTAAGATTACGGATGTTCACGATAATCTCACGAGTTTATCTTCAGTGCGATGCATGCTACAGAAACAAGAAGGTTTAGGGATCCGCGCGACGGAACTTAGAACATACCAATAGCACGAAGCAAATGGAAACAATCCGCAATAGATCCAGTCGAACGCCGGCACTTTTGTCGATATTGAACTTACCTGGAGATTGTAATGTGTAAAACAGTGAAGGCGGCTGAGATACGAGGACAATTCGGAGTTTTCTCCTTCCTTCGATATTATGGCACTCCGATAACAGACGAGAGATCTGACCCAAAAAAAAGATAACAAACGAGAGAGGAAGGGTCAAACGATTCTGATTTTGCATCCCCCGTGTTTTTCCTCCCTTAAATACGTTAAAATGTTGATGCTGATGAGGGAGGCCACATCGCCAATCCCTCAATGGTTGTCGCTGTCATGTCACCTTGCCGCTTTGTTCGCTTCAGTGCTGCTATTCAGAAGTTTGATAAGAATTCTCATCTTTTCTGGCCAAAAAAAAAAAAAATTCTCATCTTTCTTTTCTTTTGTTTGGTCACTTCTGGGAAAAATTGACATCTGTTATAAATATTAATACTTCCGATCTTTAATATAAGATCCTATTTAACTTTTATCTTGGTCCTAAATTTAAGACCCCAATCCACTTTGTCTTTCATATTTATATATATTTTTTTCAAAGTAGCTTTTCTAGTAATAAGAATTCTAGTTAATACACTTGATTAACAAAGATATTTTAGGAAAAATCACCTATTTAGGACAAATAACTAACTCAACTTACTTTCTCAATCTCCTTAAATTAGTTAATTGGCTCTTATAATTAGAATCGGAGGTAATACAATATTAAGTATGGATATCCATAACTTTTTAAAAGTTATCTTTTGTCGTTTCACACTTTAACTAAATTAAAATCTTATATAAAGTTAAAAAACTAAAATATATTTTAGCTTTTATTTTATCTCATAGGCATCTACACCTATTTTCCATGTGCTAGATGAAATTCAAAATTTATTAATAGCAAAATTTGAGATGAGCTTTGTATGATTATGATACATTGATATAGTAATAATTAATTAACAAGCTTTAATGGTGTTTTAGTGATCATTGACTTGTGAGCAGTTGATTTGAGAGCGAGGTTGGGACTTCGCGCTTGGCCTTCATTCTTGCATCGTCCTTCTCTGAGGGAGCTGGGATTGAATTTTTGCAGTGATATAGTGAGTATTATATGAAGGCTTTTATAAGAATACTTAATGATGTTAATCTCAGTGCATGGATTGATATCCACGTAAAATATGCGCGACCTTACCTTTCACGATCATTTTGTGATAAAAAATAGAACACATCATCTCAAAAGTGACAGAAACATATGTAAATTTATACAATACTTAATATACTTCTATTAAATTGAGTTAAATTACAAGTATTTTAAAATTGAGTTAATGTTTCGTCCAAAAAAAGTGAGTTAATGACAATAATGATAAAAATTAATTATAAATAATGCATGAAATTACCTATTTAAAGGAACGGAGGATGGGACCAACTGTGGGTTTATCAATAAACTCCTCTGCTTTACTGCCTTGTTGACTAAGCGGAACATAGAAATAGAAATCTTTTGCTTCTCTATGTACCTATATATAAATCCTGATTGTTTTTCACTTGACCAGTTATACGTGCATGATTCAAATTCAAGTTTCCGTGGCATCATCCCCCATGGCGACAACTAATCGAAGCAAATTTTTCATGGCCATATGTTTGAAATCATTGAAAACTGCTGTTTAAATTATTTTTCCATCTAGTTATTAGCAAGAGTTGAGTATTGTGAATCCTTTCAAATGATAAAAGCTTGGAGATCATGTGTCGCTATTTGCTGCCATCAATATCCAAGGTACTTGCTTGCTTATCAATAAGCTATTTCCTGGGATTGATCTTTCACGAGCCAACAGGTAATTATTAAACTGGACTGCTTGGAAGGTTACAAAACTCCTGTCTCTAAAAGACCTAGTTCTGGCAATTGGATTTCTTTTGGCCAACCAAAAAAAAAAAAAGAGAGAAAAGAAAAAGGATGTCTCAAGGACTGCTCCAAGACCTCGTTCCTAACTCTGTCTCCCTTCGCAGCTTACTTTCTGTTTTGTTAAGCGTCCAGGAATGCTGCTGCAGACTGGGTTGATGCCACAGTTTCAAAGGGGGTGGACACTTCGCTCATCTCAGCTAGGGATTCATAGCTTTTGTTTATGGTTAGCATCGCGTGGAAGAAGAAGACGGCGAAGGCAGAGGCCCATTTCTTGTTTGGCAATCAATGTGTGATTTGGTCACATAGGTGATAATGTTATGGAATCATAATCATGGCTCTCAATGAAGCCAGAGCTCCACTTTGATGTGCTTAGAATGAGTGCACAAACACCCAAAAAAACCAAAACAAAAAACAAACTGCTCTAAAGACAATCCAAGCTACCTCAGGTTTCCAATTGTATTCATAATAATAATGATTTTGCTTATCTTAGTTGCATGGCGAGGGATATGGCGGGAAAGGAGCTGCCACTATGCGGTAGCAATTGAAGACCAGGGCGATATAAAAATTGTTGAAAGCATATTATTATTTACAGTATAATACATATTAGGAATATAAATTGAAGATGAGTGCAATATAAAATTATTTAGATGTATACATGCCTACAATTCATACAAAATCCGCGACTTCCATTGCTTAAATCCTATCAATAGGATGCCATTGCGCTACTCGACTCTCTTATATCGTCGATCACTATGGTCTACAGGATTCAAGTCTCGGAAGGGGATAGAGAATGTCAAGCCGCTCCCCTAGTACCCCAGCATGACTGTTCCAAAGACCGAGGCAACGGATAGTCAGAAGTACACTCGCAAGATGTTCCTTAAATTCCTCTAGCATATGCAATCATTAAAAAAAAAAAAAAAAAAAAAAACCGAAACCTTCCCCGCCTTAAGATGCAGAGACCAACTTTAGTACGGTGACGATGCGCAGAGGAACAAGGCATCGCGAAGGTACCCTTTGCCAAAGAGTTAACAACACCAGTAAGCATAGTGCTCCTCTTTGCGATGGATGCTAACAAGGCCACCACACTTCAAACAAATGAAGCTGCTCCCGTCTGAAACAGCATCCAATACTATTTGCGTCCTCCCAGTTTCCGCCAGTATAGATGTCTCGTGAACGTCTGGATTAATCGATGGACCAGAAATGTTATTTGCTGATGTTTCAATATTTACAGGCAAAGCTTCAGCAATGGCACACTCAGCAAACAAAGAAGCCAGTTGATCAACAACAGCATTGTCTCGCAGTTTACTTCTATACAGCTCACGAGCTCGGTCTAAGAACTGAAAGACAGCTTCATCCCCACCTTTTGTCTTCATGGCAACTACCACCTGTTCCAAAATAAAGTAATTATCAGCCAACGAAAAGACTTCCGGTTCTACGGCTTTAAGATGTGTTTTCTCTTTTGCCAAGCATTTTGCAGTTTTCATGGAAGAGTTTTGTGCTTCACGAAAGAGTTTTGTGCTTCACGAATTACAATAGGTAACCTCCTTTATTCATTTGTCTGAGTAGCTGATTCATCGTCATTTAAATTCTAGAGCATATGGGAGCCACAATAAAATTGGCTCATTCCCCAAGGCCGTTTATTGACAATGTCAAGGCTAGAGAAAGAAGACAAAGCGGCTCACAACTCATCACCAAGGTATTATATGTTTCATTTATTTGGCACCTAATTATATTTAGAGTAGAACAGGGATCTTGTAGCAGTAGTCACACACACAGCTAAAAGATAACTAGCATAATATTACTAAAATTGTTATCTACCCACAACATTTGAATAAAGCATTGGAGCAGATAGGCCCTCAGTAGGCATGACCTGATCATGCATCAGTTATTTGAATAAAAACGGTAAGTATCTAGTAGTTCTCCATCTTCAATGATGTAGAAGTTAACTTCTATAAAAGTTTAATTTTGTTTCTACTCAAAATCATATTCACGTCTAACATGTCTCATACATCTGGAAAATATGTATTTAATTAATGTTACGTTGGAAATTAAGAACTTTGGTATCTGCTCTAAGGTGAAGACTTTTGGACCCACAACAGATCACATGTATACTTAACTTTGTCATTCGTATAAGTATTTGGATATCGGTAGGTAGAATCTAGAATGTGCTATTAAGTGAACCAGAATTTTCTTCCATCCCAAATCAGAGTGTTTCCAAGTTCTCAAAATCGAAGTCTTTTGAAGTCCTCACGACACTATTTACAAGGTAGCCAGGTTACCTAAGAATGTGCTATTGGGTTCGTAGTCACTAGTCAGCCAAAATTTTGCACAAGGTTAGCATTCTAATGGTAGGCTTTCAAGATATTGCACCACATCACTTACGGCTGGCAAAACACCATCGTATCAAACAGCCTCAGACTTTTCTTGAAGCATTTTGGGCAACCCATAATTTAATAATTATTTTCGACAATTTTGTTGATATCGTAGTCACTTTTGCTCTAAATTTGTCTTGCCCGAGATATCAAACCATTACTCACGTACGAAGTCCAGTTACCAAGTTCCAAGGCTCCAAAAGCGGTGTGGTTGTATGAAGGCTATCGAAATCATAACGTTCAATCGCGAATTGAATGAAGGGGAAAAAATCAATTCTTTGGGGAAAATCAATTCTTTCTAACATGATAATCTACTTGAATGTTACAGCAACAAGAGCCTCGGATGTATGAAAACCCCTTCAACTACTGACTCGAAACAGCATACAAGAGCGCAATTGTTCAGCAAGAACATTAGAGATCAGATAAACAGAGGAAGGAAATTCTCCACTCTTATAATATATTGACATTGGAAGAGATAACAGAATTATAACCTCAAGAAAAAATCAAATTGAAAGAAAGTTCGAAACTACAAAAATTAAAATAAAATGAGCAGAACAATCAATCGGCAGCCAGCGTAGATTGAAAGAATAGGTAGAAAAGAATAAAGATTACCGCATGGAGAGCTTGGGAAGGCTTGCCCTGATCGATGAGCTGGCGTGCCAATGTGAGTAAATCTCGAATGAAGTCGTTCTGCCCGGAATTAGAGGGCACCGCCACCTCCGGGTTTGACGCCTTCTCCGCCTCAATCATATCGGTGTCCATTTCTGGTTTTCTAGGTTTCTCTTCAAATAATCTTGTTCCAGATGTGTGGCCTCCTCATTCAAGTTTCCGCAGAGACTGAATCTAAACGTTCTGCCCGTACATATGGTATTTTATAATAAATAAATATAATCATCATGCGCTTCGGACTAATGAGGTCATTCTAGCAGATTCTGCGCTGCCATGGCAGTTGGCATCTTCCTCCTTTTC